CGAATGCTAACGGTATTTGGCTCAAGACATGATCAGGAAAGGAGTGCTAACTGCATCTAACTGCGGTAGGCCTCTGTGTTGGTTGTGTCTTGTTCGTTTAACTTCGTTAGGCAGATCTGTGTGCTTTGTGTCGAAGATTCCTCAGATTTTACCACGGGGTTTTGGCTGGGCTCCCGTCGGGTCTTTGGTTCACGCTGCCCTATTTTTGTGGATTTGCAGGGTGTCTTGAGTGTGAAGGAGGGTAGGTTGATTCGGTGCAGATACGTCCTTGGAGGTTTGGGGTTTGTAAGTTGGAGAGTTCAAAGTTGTCACGCAGGCTTATTGCAGGGTTCAGTCGCTTCCTAGCACATGCATGGACGATGGTGTGCAGGGACGTCGACTTGGGCTTCTTGATGAGGTGTTGGAGTTCAACCTTAAACCCAAAGCCAGACCCCAAGCCCTAAACACCAACCTCGCCTAGGCAAGCCCGAGAGTGAATGCTGAAACACCAACCTCGCCTGCAGAGTGTGAGTTCCGAGACTCCACCGACCGATCCTGTCCTTCCACCGCGCCGCCTTGAGCACCCCACCGAGGCTCCTACTCCGGAGCGGGCAGTGGCCTTTGATCCGTTGCAACGTCTTCAAAGTGAGCAGACAGGACACGTGGTTTTTGTGAGCCCCTTTTGGAGGCTCCGCGCCATTGTAGCCCAGTGAGCGACAGGGAAGGATGGCGAAAAGAGATCGTGCACCTGCCCCCCAGCGTTTGCAGATTGTAGTAGCACAGGAGATGTCGCAGGGCCCGGCTGTCGTGGCACAGGGTGTGCAGGGTTTTGATTCGCCTGCGCCGTCGCCAGGTCTGCCCATTGACCGCCTGCCCCGCGCCTTGGAGGTTGGGTGCTGGTGTGAGAGCTTGCTTGCTGAATCCTAAGCCGTACAAACCCTGAAGCCGAAACCCGAAAAAATCCCGTTCGGACTTAAGGCTTCAACTTCCAGTGGTGCCTTTCCAGAGGGCGCAGACCTGAGACCTCAAACTGTGCAAGCCCGGTGTGCCTAAGCCCAAATCATCAGACGGTCCTTGTCTGCTGGAAGCCAGCAAGCTGGGCTGCAAAGCCGAAAGCGCTTTACCCAACTGGTGGCAGGCGCTGAGCTACCTCAGCCCCGACCCAAAGCGCATCGAGGTCCGGGAAAAGGGGCTGGGCTGGGCTGTGCTGGACATCTTCCGTCCTTGAGCTTCTGGAGACACTAGGAAGGAAGTTAAGCCCTAAACCCCAAATGTCCCAAACCACCTTTCTTCCACACCCTCACCAGCCCAACGCGACTTGAACATCGAAAGCGACTGCCCTTCGTCTGTGCTCGGCTCCCGGAGTTAGGAAACCGCACAGAATCCTCCACAAGCCTTATGAAACTCCACAGGAGGCCGGCTAGAAGCTGCATGGACAGCCGTGCCAAAAAATCTCAGTTAGAACATAAGAAGAAGCGCAAAATACCCAGAGGTCTAGAGCCCTGCCCGGGAGGACTCGCTGACGACGTTGCTCTACCGAAGCTCCATGGACCAGCCGCTGGCATTGGATGAGTTCGCCGTGGCCGCCGGCCTGAATTTCAAAAACCTGGAATTCCGCGATAAAGAGGTCAATCACAAGGTCACCAGAATAGAGGATACTAGGCCACAGTCAAACACTAACAGCAGAACCAGTAATTATCAGGACTAATCTGAAGTATTCCCATCACGAGCATCCTATGGATCTGCGACTGATGGCTGGTGTTTTTTTCACTGAGTCTCTTTCATTTCATGGTTCGTAGAGCCGCTAAACCTCTCGTCCTGTTGCTCGTGAATCTACAGCTCCCCAAGCCCTGTGCCCTTGTATTGTTGAGAATTTTCGCACGAGTCACACAAGCCATTTTTCGAACAATCTTGGGTCCGAAGCTGGGAACTTGTTCAAGATGTATATGTATTGATGACTACTGTAAGCAAGCCCCCTAGCCATAAGTCAGTGTGCGGCCTACCAGTGGAGACCGTTCCGATACCATCGAACCAATGTTCCAAAGTAAGAGAACACCGGGCTGTGCATGAGAAGCGCAAGAAGCTCTCCGGATTTATTTCATAGCCTCGGGTCCCAATGGAGTACTAAGTCATACAAGTCCTTCGGCCAGCGCCCCTTGTTCTACGAATTTCCCAGATCTTCAAGCTCTAAGCCACAAGGTCATCCACCACTTTGAGGTGCACCGCGCGCAGCAGATCAAGGCCTGTTTAGCCGGTTTCGAGTTCCTGGGGCAACAAAAGAGACAAGGGCGATGTCTCTAACGCTGGAGATCACCTTCATGGGTTATGAGGACGCATGCAAAAGCCTAGGCTCACACTCCTAGCCTGTCCCGTAAACCGTGATTCGATGCCTGAAACCTCAAGCCACGCATTTCCTGAACACTGTTCTCACCTTCGTCAAGTATATCATTCCTATAAGGAACGACCATGATGGTTTTCTTGAAGCCCACGAGCAACACGGACAAACCCGAAGCCAACGCGCCTTTTCACAGGCGCAGTTCGAGCAGCTCGACGAAGACGGTTCAGGCCACGGGGGATCCTGCAGGTTTGGGATGATGAAGGGTCTACTTGGAATGCATGGTAACTATAGTTCTAACCCATAATAGGGGACTTATAACTCCATTTATACCCATGAACCTCCAAGTAAGGTCTAGGATCTTCAAGTGCAGGGGTTCCTAATTTTCAGGGGTTCATGGGGATTGCAGGCTCTAGTTTTTCGTGGAGTTTTGCAGCCTGTTTTGGCATGGTCCTAGTAGGTTCGATGGGTAGCTCAAAGTAAGGCAGAACGTGAGGCAGCTACATCCAGATTTTTTTGACAGGCAGACAGAATCTTCTGCCCTTGAGAGCGAGAGGCAGCTCTAGGAATTACGAAGAGGTCTGAACGGAAAGACCTTAGATGCCCCAAACCCAAAGCCCTCATTGAACCCTTCTAGGTCCTCTGCCAGCCTCCTTAAACCCTCCACGCTGATGCTAAGCTGCCGACTGCGAGCTGAGAGACCTCGTCAGGCTTGTCCGAACCCTGCGAGACTCCAAACCCTAAGCCCCCAAGCCCTAAATCCGAAATCTTAAACCCGAAGAAAGCCCCCTGCACCCTAAACTCTAAACCCTAAGCCCCCCAAGCCCTGAACCCGAAATCTTAAGCCCTAAGCAAACCCCTTACACCCTAAGCCCTAAACCCTAAGCCCATAGCAGACCTCGTCTGTGAGCGTTGTTCTCAGCCATGCGAGAGGAAGAAAAAACCCTAAGCCCAAAGGGACCCCCCGGTGCTTGAGGTTTTTGAAACCTAAACCCTAAACCCTAAACCCTAAACCCTAAACCCTCAACCCTAAACCCTAAACCCTAAACCCTAAGCCCTAAACCCTAAACCCTAAACCCTAAAGGCTCCATCGACAAGTCCGAGCTCCGTCGCCTCCTCTGGGACACCGGCTACTCTGTGAACAGGCCCTGTTCATTTAGGGTTCCATTAAGGGTTCGGTTCAGGGTCCCCTTTAACGGTTCCATTGAAGGGTTGGTAATATTGGACAGCCTTACCTATCAATCGCTTGGGATGGTACTGCGGCTTGTACGTGGGTTTAGAGCC